CTGAATTATAGCAAACTAATATAGTAGGTACTTGATAAATTCTAACCATTATTTTATCATCAACATCATCTTCTTGGGATTGTTTCTGAGACAGAGATTGTTAGTGAAGAGGGAGGAAAGGGCGTAAGGAAGAAATATCAAGTACTAATAGAACCTGTATGCAGTGGAGAAAGATTTTGAAGTCAGACTATGGTGTTTCAGATGGAATCAGCCTGGGTAACTGGTAATTCTAGAAGAGCTAATGACATGCAAAGAAAAATTGTAAATTGGGGACTGTCCATATGACAATTCATGGAGCCATAAGCTGTTAACTATCAACTACTTTTCTCATTTTCTATTATTTTTGCAAGAAAAATTCCCTGATCTCAATTAAAAGCAAAACAAACAACTCTTTCTACCCAATATAATAACTATAAAAATTTGTATAGCAATTGCATACCAGGAATGAGTTGAAAATCACAGTTCATGCAGTTCATGTATTATTCTCATGCATCCCCATTAAAGAGGGACTATGCGTCTTTTTAGAACACGATATAAAGGTATAATAAGTCGTTCTTAAATGGTCCATGAGACAATCAAGTAATGAATATATTTTTACATTTAGTAGTTAATAAACTTACCCATTTTTACTACAGATCTAAAATACCTCATTCTATTTCCAGTAAAATGTAACATTATCAAAAGGATATTTTCTTCCATGGAACTAATGAGTCATCTGTAATTTTGAGAAGAACATGAGAAGGAAGAAGTTTTCTGTAATAAAGAGTGGGTGAAGAATTTGAATATATAGCCAAATGGTGCAAAATCAACCCAAGCTATGAAAGGAAACTGTGACAAAAAATCCCATACGGGAAAAAAAAAAAAGGTGTGTTCACAAGCTAAAATGTGCCTTGGTACACAGCTAAAGCAAATAAATAAACAAAAGGAATCCAACTTGGAATCAACATTCTAGAGACTATCTAACCAGAGCTAACATGATGTGGAAAACATTTTGCCTGTATTCTGACAGCACTGTTACTTCATTCCTTAATTCTTACCTTGGACTTCTGAAGACTTAAAACCTTTGAGGGTCTGGAAACTCCTCATGCTTCCATATACCAGGAATGTTCATGAGATGGTTGCTATTATTTCTTTGAGTCCTGGTGGTGCAGTGGTTAAGAGCTTGGCTGCTAACCAAAAGGTCAGTCGTTCAAATCCACCAGCTGCTCCTTGGAAACCCTATGGGGACAGTTCTACTCTGTCCTGTAGGGTCACTATGAGTTGGAATCAACTCGACGGCACTGGGTTTTTGGTTTGGTACTACTACAATATCATTGATCGTGGCTTAAACTACTTCAACAATTTTACTAGAATATTTGAACATTATATAATTTGCATATTTTAAACTGGGGCAAAGAGGATAAAAATAGGTGGGTATATACCATCTGAAAATCTGTACATCATCAGCAGTGATGTATGTTTCCATAAGCTCATTGACATTGTCTTTGTAAAAGATCGAGGAGAGCTTCGATGTGGTTTTGTGTTGTTTCTATTCATGCTAATTTCTTGTATGTATATCACTGTACTTTATTGTAAAACATAATATAAAGAATGGATTCTGCAACCAATTTATTGTCTGCTTGCTGTTTTATTCTATGTATTATTAAGAAACTAGAGACTTTGTATATTGATTAAAATGAAAAATTAATTATTGTGCTTGAGTTAAACTTTAGGAAAGACCTTGGCTTAACTGATGTTCACATATTCTAACTCACTCAGCTAAACAAATCCACCCACCGACTCCATATCAGCATAGTGGGAAATCTCATCCTAAGAAACATTTCCACAAGTGACATTTTCACCACTCTAGACCTTTTAGCTACACCGGGAGTATGGTGTGTGTCTGCTGCATTGTTTTAATTATGATCACCCTGCCAGTCTCAGACAATGAAGTCACTAAAATAAAATTACTTGTCAAAAAATCAAAAGAAATATTCGTTATTTTTAAAAGGCTGAGAATTTGCTAAACATTCCAACTTTAATCAGAATAAATTCATTCACAATTTAAGGGTATTACTCAATACCAAAATAATCCAATTGTGAAAGAAAAGTAAGACTGAAAACAATGCACATGCAACTTGTAGAAAGTTTTAACACATAAAAATACAAAAGAAGGGAACTTCAAACAGTAGCTCAATCACGTGTTCTAAGCATGCCACATTAGTTTTTACGGATTTCAGTCCTGTAAAATGTTTCATTTGAATTGCTATTGGGTGACTTACATTTGAAGACTTGTCTGATGTCAGCTCAGTGTGAAAGAAAACGTTGTGCCTTACCTTGGGAAAAACTTTCTGATAACAAAATATTTCTCTTATCAGGTTGTTCTACTTGCACATTGTGACTTGTTCCAAAACACTTTTCCTGCATCACACAATGTGCATTTGAAGATAAGGACAGAAGATGCTAAAGTAAGTTTGGATATGAACCTAGCAAAACGTATAAGGGTTACTTCAGCACAAGAATCTGGCTGGCTAGTCATTCCAACATAGTTGGTCTTCCAGTCTCAGTTTTAAGGTCTTCCTTTTAACATTTTTAAAGGGTATACAGAATTTATTCCCCCTCTGCCTTTGTATCATCTTTGTTACACAACACTCATAAATCAATCGTAGATTGTTTTAGTTGGGGACAATCTCTCAAAAAACTTTTCTCAGTCTGAAAGGTCTTTAATTTAAAAGAAAACATGGATTGGATGCTGGTTTTCACGTGAAGAATCTCTGTCCTTGTCTACATGCATTGATTTAGTCCTTCTCAAAACATTCATTTACTGTTTTACAAATAAGGACACAGCGTAAGAGCTGGGATGCTAGACTGCATCCTGTTTGATGGAAGAGTAGACTCTGGGGTGCCTTTAATCATTTCTAGATGGTGATTACTACATGAGAGGTGGGGGCTGGTATCTGGTGGTAATGAAATGTCGCTGAGGATGGAGCCCACACCTCATCTGAAAACAGAGATGATAACAGGATCTAATAATAGCCTAATGTAAGGATTAAACAAGTTAATATGCGTCAAGCATTTATAACAACACCTGTATAACACTGTTAAATATTATACATATATAAATGTAAATATTTTATATGTTGTTAAATATAAAAAAGTATGTGCAAGGGAGCAGCCTCTGAATTGTCTGGATGTGTCCAATGGCTATCAATAAAGTAGCAGCCTTGGTGGCGTGAATGAGTTACTGTGTGGAACACATCAATGCCTTTGCTTCAATAACAAAGTAATTTTAAATAAATTAAAATGCTTGAATAATTGGAATATATGCACTTTTACTTTCCTTACACAAATGTAACTCTTATAATCTGCTTCCATTAATTCGGGCTTTGACTTTTCAGATGCCACATTAAATTAATTTCCGAAGGACTGATTTAATGATAAAGTGCATTAAATAACTTTTCTCATAATCTAAACGGCAGTTATGAAACGGCTATTCTTTTACCTACTAGGATCCCACAATAGGGTGCCAAAAAGCAAAGTTAAATTAACAAAAATGAAATTTATAAAAAACTTTTCTTTATTTCTTTACTGTAAAACAAACAAGCCAGTTTTTAAAAAGAGAAAGTGGATTATACTTAAACTGGCTATATCCTGGAAAGTTAAAAGAAATTTTTTGAACATAGCGCTAGTCATCTTTTTGTGAGACTGGCAGCAGCCAATAAGAAATGATTTACAAAATGGTCTCAAATGCTTCCTATTAAGACTACCAAACTTATACATTTGACGAGGACTAACTTTGTATAAAAATAGTCCTTAAAGGCTTCTGAGGTTATTTACGGCTCACGTCCAACTAAAAAATTTCAATTGCTTAATGACAATTTTGGAAACCCTGGTGGCGTAGTGGTTAAGAGCTACGGCTGTTAACCAAAAGGTCAGCAGTTCAAATCCACAAGATTCTCCTTGGAAACCCTATGAGGTAGCTCTACTCTGTCCTATCGGGTCACTATGAGTTGGATAGACTTGACGGCAACTGGTATACGGGTATATAATAATTACCCTTCTACCCAGAGCTCAAAAGTGTTTTCTCTGTCAGGTGAAAGAAACAATAGAATGCTGCAGATCAAATCATAAATTTTATCTAAAATCAGTACAATAATCATTTTATCTTTTTCTATGCTTTTCTCCTTGGTTTGGTGAAATCATGATCATTATAATGAAAGGTTGGGTGCTTATATAAAGTATTAATTTTAAGCATGGATAGAGAAAAATGCATGCATTCAAATATCATTTTTGGGTTCTTTAAATTGCTACAATGTTTTGTTAAAATTGTTATCAATATCAATACCTTTCTACCAAAAGATGAATTTTTTTTAAAATTGTAGTTCATATAGGAATGTTGTTTTTCAAGTGAAAAAAGCTGCTTCAGGAAAATTGATTATTTGTAACATGACATGAAATTGGAAACCCAGTAGTATTATATTTTGTTTCATGAGAATTTAATACCAAAATTTCCTGACGTCTTTATAACTTTGATGATTTCAGAATTTCCAAGTGCAGAAAGTCCATAAAATTGCACAGTAAATCTAATTTTGAGGGAGGACTTTTTAATTTGTTAAATTAGCAGCCTACAGTTTACATTTATTTTTTAGGTATCCAGCAGGTACATGGAGACCTGGTGGCGCAGTAGCTGAAGAGCTCGGCTGCTAACCAAATGGTCAGCAGTTCAAATCCACCTGCCGCTCCTTGGAAACTCTATGGGGCAATTCTACTCCTATAGGGTCACTAGGAGTCGGCAGTGGGTTTGGCTTTGGTATCAGGTACGCTCAGGGCAGTTCCATCTCTTATGCTTAATCAATTTATTTCTCATGTATATGCATGAAATATATGCAAATATATGTCATTTCTTAAAACAGATGGGTACTTAAGACTGTACTAATTCAGCATGTGTTCGTGACGTAACAGTCCAAGGTATGCAGTAGGCAATTAACAGCAAAAAAATATGCCTGATAGAAAACACTCACTTTTTTATTGATATAGTACGGGTCCAGGTCCTCCAAGGGCTCTGACACCATCCCTGGAGGAATGTCTCCATAAATAAATGGAAGGTTTTTTCCAGCTTCCAAGTCACTGTTTGGCTTTGGACCATTTTCGTCATCATCTTTCTTGTCTGGTTTGGGATTCTTAGCCTTTTCTTCTGCAATGCGTCTTTCAATAGCCACAAGAGATTCTCTGGTGAAGAAGGTGAAGCTGTCAGGTCCCGGTGGTACAAGCACTGTTTGCTCCATCTTGTCATCCTGCACATTTTAATTACCATTTACTCCGCATATAAAAGTGCTAAAAAAGAAAAAAAAAAGGTTTTAAGAGATTAAGAGAAGATTTTAACATATATAAATTCTTGTTATGAAATATGATATAGAGGATTTAAATTTTTGTTTTCATCTTAAACTGAAATCTAATTTCTAAATATAAATTTTTAACAAACATGTTTTTCTTTTACTGTGCTTTAGATGATGTTTTACAAATTAGTTTCTCATTAAACAATTAATACACATATTGTTTTGTGACATTGGTTGCCAACCCTGCGATGTGTCAACACTGTCCCCTTCTTGACCTTCAGCTCCCCATTTCCACTCGTCCAGCTTTCCCCCTCCTGCCTTCTCGTCCTTCCCCTGGGCTGGTGAGCCCATTTAGTCTCATATACATGGTTGATCTACGTTTATTACTGTTTGTTTTATGGGCCTGTCTAATCTTTGGCTGAAGGGTGAACCGCAGGAGTGACTTCAGTATTGAGTTAAAGGGGTGTCTGGGGGCCATACTCTCGGGGTTTCTCCAGTCTCTGTCAGAGCAGTAAGTCTAGTCTTTTTGTGTGTGTGTGAGTTTGAATTTTATTCTACATTTTTCTCCAGCTCTGCCCTGGACTCTCTATTGTGATCCCTGTCAGAGCAGTCAGTGGTGGTAGCCAGGCACCATTGAGTTGTACTGGACTTAGTCTGGTGGAGGCTGTGGTACTTGTGGTCCATTAGTCCTTTGGACTAAACTTTCCCTTGTGTCTTTGGTTTTCTTCATTCTTCTTTTCTCCAGACAGGGTGGGACCAGTAAACATATCTTAGATGACCACTCCCAAGCTTTTAAGACCCCAGACGCTACTCAACAAAGTAGGATGTGAAACATTTTCCTTGTAAACTGTTATGCCAATTGAGCGAGATGTCCCCCAAGACCATGGTCCCCAGCCCTTAGCCCAGTAACTCAGTTCTTATGGGAGTCTATGAAGCCTCTATAACTTTGCCTTGGTCAAGTTGTGCTGACTTCCCCAGTATGGTGTACTGTCTTACCCTTCACCAAAGTTACCACTTATCTATTGTCAAGTTACTGTTTTTCCCTCCCACCCCTCGTAACCACCAAAGATTGTTTCTTTCTGTGTGTAAACCTTTCCCTGAGTTTTTATAATAGTGGTCTCATACAGTATTTGTATTTTTGTGATTAACTTATTTCATTCAGCATAATGCCCTCCAGATTCATCCACGTTGTGAGATGTTTCGCAGATTCATTACTGTTCTTTATTGTTGCGTAGTATTCCATTGTGTATATGTACCAAAGTTTGTTTATCCATTCATCTGTTGATGGGCACTTAGGTTGTTTCCATCTTTTAACAAATATGTTTTATATGTTGGGTTTTATTAAGTTTCCCATATTTATCAGTTCTTGTGCTTTACATCGAGGAACTATGCAGTGAGTTAAGAAAAAAGCCTCAAGTATAGCCTTAATTAAAGTACATCAGGGTGATGAACATCATGCCACTAATGGACTGTTCATTCTGTGACCTAACTAGAAGATGACTGCATACCCACAGAGGCAGAGGTTACCTCAGTCAACAAGGATGAAGTGGAAAAGGAGTTATCTCTGAGAGGATATAAAATCCAAGTCTCTAGGCCTAACAAGTGGCTCCTGGGTGAGCTGGTGAAAAGAGTTTGCTGTAGCCAGCCTTAATGAGCAACTGAATACTCACAGCTGTACTGACTGGACCTTTATCTATTCTAAGATTTGAGATGACTGGAACTGTGACCTGCTCACTGGAACAGCCATGCAAGGGTATGCTTACTTGAATACATAAAGGAAGCATAGTCGAAGGTTGGGCAAATGCCATTTATGTGACTAAGAAGGAGATAAAGATTAGGCTGAAAACGAATTCGTACATTCAGGGATAAAGAGATGAAAGCTGTAGGTTCAGGAGACAGCAGGATTCTGGTATTTCAAGAAAAATGATCAGAAAGAAGTTAGGAAGCTCAATAGGAACAAGATGTGTTTTTTTTTTCTTCACAAAATAATAATATTCTTGCTGATTCTATAGCCCTACAGCACCAAACGTATTATGACCACCTGAGGCAAAACTCTCTACTCCAGCGGAGTCAACCAGATCTGATGTTGGGGACCAAATCCCAAATGCACTGTTTTAAAGCATATTTAATATGTGCTCAAATTTCACAGATATTACTGAGCCAAAATTTCACAGGGCCTAAGCTACCTATAATACAGTAAAGTATTATAATGTAATATTAAAAGACCTGGAGTTAGAAAACCAAAAGGGAAAAACATGCTTGGCATTTCTCAAGCTGAAAGAGCCAAAGAAAAAATTCAAGCCTTAAGTTGCAATTTTGAAGGATTCTATGGGCAAAATATTGAACGACACAGGAAGCATGAAAAAAAGAGGGAAGGAACACACGGAATCACTGTACCAAAAAGAACTGGTCAATGTTCAACCATTTCAGGAGGTAGCATATGATCAAGAACCAGTGGCATTGCAGAAGAAGTCCAAGCTGCACTGAAGGCACTGGAGAAAAACAAGGCTCCAGGAATTGACAAAATACCAATTGAGATGTTTCAACAAATGGATGCAGTGCTGGAGGTGCTCACTCATCTGTGCCAAGATATTTGGAAGACAGCTACCTGGCCAATCAACTGGAAGAGATCCATATTTGTGCCCATTCCAAAGAAATGGGATCCAACAGAATACAGAAATTATCTAAAAATATCATTAATATCGCACACAAGTAAAATTTTGGTGAAGACAATTCAAAAGTGGTTGCACCAGTACATTGACAGGGACTGCCAGAAATTCAAGCTGGATTCAGAGGAGGCTCTGGAATGAGGGACATCATTGCTGATGTCAGATCATCTTGGCTGAAAGCAGAGAATACCAGAAAGATTTTTACCTGTGTTTCACTGACTATGCCAAGGCATTTGACAGTGTGGATCACAACAAATTTGAGAATACTTAATTGTGCTCATGAGGAACTTCTACATAGACCAAGAAGCAGTAGTTCTAACAGAATAAGGGATACTGCGTGGTTTAAAATCAGGAAAGGTATGCTTCAGGATTGTATCCTGTCACCATACTGATTCAATCTGTATGCTGAGCAAATAATCTGAGAAGCTGGACCACATGAAGAATGCAGCAACAGGATTGGAGGAAGACTCATTAATAACCTGCAATACGCAAATAACACAAACTTGCTTGCTGAAAACGAAGAGAACTTGAAGCACTTACTGATGAAGATCAAAGACTACAGCCTTCGATATGGATT